AAGCCCTGCTAGAAGAATCCCTGTCCTGATTTAAAACAGGTCAGGAAGCCAAATTTGTTTTGTAGCCATGCAAGAATGATGCCCAGCACAAACAGCCCTGGCCTACGAGTAGAAGCTCTGACTTGTTTTGCGTTAAATAAATGCATTCTAAGAACTACTGAAAAGTTTCATTCAAGCAATATATTTTCAATAGGTTTACAGCTTTTTCTCCACAAAATAAACTGTCTCAAAATATAGGCATTGAAAACTGCTTGATTTCATACCTAAATTCAATCTATTCATCCTTTCTGTTCTTCTCTGAGTCCAGACTCATGAAATTCCAGCAAGAGCTTTCTTTAGTGCATCTGCTTCAACCTGACTTCAAAAGAAGGATCTGAAGGTGCACCAAAATTCACCCATTTGAAGACTTTTAAGAGAATACCTCTGGCACTCGAAGTGCTGAGAAGATTCTGAGGCTATGAACATTCAGGCTCAAACTCTACCAGCACAGAGGCTTCTTTTTTTAAAAAATCTTGCTATATTTTGGGTTTTACATTTATCTTCAATGCCAGAAGATATTAAAATACTTTTTAAAAATATATAGAGGAATATACAGTTAAAAATTCTCTAGATCTGCTAAATTGTAAAAGATCTTCTGGACCTTACCCTACCAGGTTGCTCCTGGTCTAAATTATCACTGACTTCTCTGGAAGACAGATTAAGTTCTGCAGGTCCAGAAAATCCTCATGCAATAAAATGCTAAAAACATAAAAGGTGTCTTTGTTTTGATATGAACAGGAGGTCTGTAAATTAGTTCGATGTGCCTGATAACTTTCAGAGTTTAAATAACCAGCCAAGTTTTCAGCAGATGCTCTGCTCTGGGATGCTTGATGCACAACAGTCCTGAAAGTTCCATCTACTCAGGTGCTGAAATGCAGGGTTTTTTTCTCATTTTTTTGGGAAAAAGAAAAACAATCTAACATTGGCTTATATTAAATAGAACCTGAAAAAAAAAAGAGTGGTGGAATTTTTGTTTTCTTTTCTCCCCACCATGTGAGATGCCTTTTTTCCCTAAGATGAAGAGGATTCACTTTCATTCTTTCCTTCTACACAAGTACATTTATTATTGAATAAGCACTATCATGTGCTCAGTGTGATTAGAAAAAGAAATGTAGGCAGGCCCTGCACTGACGTAGCCCACAAGAGAAAACAGAAATCCCAAGAGATGGCATGGGGATAGGACTTGCTTCCACCACCTCTTAAAGGCATAAAAGCATCTTCTTTTCTATTTCTGTTGTGCTCTGTAGCTATGATGTTTCTCCAGCACAAGAAGAAGAACACTTTAACTAAATTTCTAAGATATGAAATACCTGGAGAAATACTTGTTTAGTACATGTGAGTGTGTGTTTGAGTTTAGTTTTTTTTAGTAAAGCCACATTTTTAATGGGATATGTTACAACCTTGTGGTTTCAGAGAAACTTGGTTAGCAGCTCACCTTCCAATACTGGCTTGGCAAAAGATTATTTTGAGTTAGGCTTTTGCACTTTTCCAAAAGCAGTGTTTGGAGCAGCATCACTACTTAATATTAAATTTAAATATTAGACCAGCTGCATACTACCACAGGTATCAAATCTGGAGTAGCTGAATGCCCATTTCCAGATGCTTCTAGCTACTGTTACAGAAAATTGAATTCAGCTGCACCCTGGAAATTGCTTTTGAAATGTCTTTACAATCAGAGAAACAGACTTATCTATGATAATATTCTTCTCATGTTCCAAATACTTATATTTTGAAAACCTCAGCACAACAGGAATTATATAAAGAATTCTTATTTGACATATTAAAGGCACAACGTTTTAAATTTCATTACTGCTTTCTTGACTGTGTGTCACAATTTCTGTAAAGATCAGGTTCTTTTGCTGAATTGGGAACGTCTTCTCTGGGATGAATCCATTGTTTCCCTGCTGAGTTTGGTGGTTTCAGTTTGTAGCCTGCTAAAAAGTAGGAAGTTCTGATTAAAAACCTACAATAAACAAAACCCCCTCATTCTGCAATCTCTGAGCAGGAGTGAGGATGGCACAGATTTCCCTCCAAGCCAGCAAGGGGCCTCTGGAGATGCCAAAAGGAGCTGGGAGCACATTGCCACAGCCTGGCAGAGGAGCCTGTGCCCATTCTTCAATTACCTGAGCTGCTCCCCTTGGTTAAATATTTGCCTTCAAGTCAAGGGAAGACAGAACTGAAAAAGGATGTTTTGTAAACAAGAGCTTGACAGGCAAAGAATGGTCATGGGGAAAAGGCACAGGAAATCACCAGGAGAATATTTCTCTGGATTCCCAAGTCAAAACTGCTGCTGCTGCAATGACTGAAATCTGTATTGTACCCACACTCTATCCACACTGTATCTACATTTTATCTGCCCTCCACCTACCCCATACCTACCCTCTCTCTCCCTGCTATCAGGCAGCACACCCTGTCTCACCTCTCAGCTTGCTGGAGTAGCCAAGCCACTGCCACATGTAGTTGTAACTGATGGGAGATTTTGGAAGAGAAGAAATTTTGCTCCGTTGCGAAAAATGGACTTGTAAAAGATTTTTAAAACTTGATTGAAAGTTTATATGTTTTTGTATATCTGTATGTAAATACTGAGATGAAGTATATTAAGAAGACCATGACTTAAGAAGACTATGACCAAGACAATAATAGAAATGACATTGTGAAGAGAGAGATTAAACTGGATTACATCTCTTATATCTCACCCTTCTATGAGACTAATAATAGAACAAAATATTTTAAAACACCTCTCAATTACCCTATCTTTATAAAACTAAAAATCTTCCAACACTCATGTCTTTGCCTTAGGTAAACAACACTGTACCATCTGCATTCCCTAAAACTTACTTTACAGAGCACATTTAGTGACTCAGAAAAAAACCAAATTAATGCAGACTTTTAGAAGGGATTCCTTTTATTACTCAAACTGTTTGTCAGCTTTAATATTACCCTGCTGAAGCTTTGGAAACTGAAATTTTACAGATGCACAGGGCACACATATAGGCAGATGCACACGTGGTGTGCACACTAACAATTATCAGGTAATATCTTATCTAGAAATGGCACTGTAACTTTAATGATATTTTCTCCTCTGTATGTTAAGTCAATGACCTACTTAAATATGTTGGCAGCAATTTATATGCCTTGTGACTTTATATTCCACAAAGAAATACTGTGTTTTGTGTTATTTACATTAAAAAGACATACTATGTAAAACTTCACTTTTGTTAAAAATCACTTTATCCTAAGTATTTAAATTATTTCACACTTTCAAAAGGCACAATTATGTATCTAATGAGAACTTCCATTCGGTGTTACACATAATACAAAAAGAGAAAAAATGTTTGAGACATCAATGATAATATTTTAAATATGTTGGCATGGGAAAGTAGATGTCTTTTTTCTCCACTAAACTGACAGTTCAGTTCTGAAACTTTATTTTGAAAAGATTTTAAAAGGATTTGTGTCTTTAGAAATTAAAAATATAACAGGCATATCTAAAAAATATAAAAGAGAAAACCTGATTGTTACTACTAATGAAATAGCTGATGACAAAATAGTAGTCTTTTTGATTTTGATCACAAAAAATAAACTGGTAGTGACAGGATATGATGGATAGATTTGACATCCTGGCAAATCACTGTCATTGATTCAATTATTCTAATTCAGAATAAAAGCTGTATACAGTATGTGTTTATGCTACAGTGGAGTTTTTTAAGTGATTGACATTCATCATATTAGTTAGACAGTTTTAAAAGCTATGTCTTTGTTTTACACAGACTTGTCAAGAAAAAAATAAAGTAGAACCTGGATTGCAGAAGGAAAAAGAAAAAAAAGCAAACCACTTCCCCAAGTCTTGGTTCCAAACCCATCAAAATATGTTACCATTATTGCATCCTATTAACATGTTCTTTGAAGACTCAATTTCACTCCAGCCATGTAATACACTATTATAAAGACTAAATTTTGAAACTGTAATGCAATCTTACAGCTGGGTGGCTTGGAAGTTCTGCAGAGAAGAAGATATTACCTTTCAAAATGGAAGTCAGCCTCAGAAGAAAGAATGCAAACCACTTTAATTCCCAGGTCAGCTTTGCTTCACTGTTCCTTTGTTTGATGGGAGAGACACAGGGATGCACAGAGAACAGTTAGGAGTTCACAAATCGTGTATGTGAGGGTACAAAAGCCTGAATTGCTTGTGCATTCTGCCCTGCTTTAGACCAGCTCGCTGTGATATCCTTCCCCCAGCTCAAATGCACTCTTCTGGTTTCCCAGCATTAATGTAGCTGTCGGTTTGAATTTCCATCTTGAATTATGTCTGTTGACATAATTTCATAGCGCTGACTTCAATTGTTTAGGATTACTGTTTTGAACTACATAAGGAAATCAATTCTTTCCTCTCTGGTTAGGAAATTCCATTCAAGTGCATTTTAATGCATGTGGTAAGCCACAAGGCTAAGTAATTATGTATAATATATTTAGATTTAAACACCCCCATCCAAATGATCTTCTATATTATAAATTTATTATTACATATTTAAGAATGGTGTTTCAATTACAGAAATGAAATGTGTAGTTTGCTGTTTGAATAACATACGACAACAAATTGCTTAGTTCCATTCCTTTATTTCAATAAACCCATTATTCATACAAAATATTATACGTAACGATATAAAAATTCTTCTGGGAAAAATATCCCTTTATTTTTAATGTAAAAAAAATAGAAATGAAAGGGTAATTGCAATTTTTTTTATTTTAAGTAAAGAAACAAAATACTACCTGTTTCCAATGGAGCAGAACAATGGCAGGACCCAACAAAATGAAAAGCAGAACCCAAACAAAACCAAATTTAGTACAAAGAAACCAGAACAAACACACACAAAAAAAAAAAAAAAAAAAAAAAAAAAAAAAAAAAAAAAAANAAAAAAGAAGGAAGGCATCATATGACAACACGTATTTTTAAAGACTGCTGGGTCAAATCATTAAGAAAAATATTTATATAAGTCATTAACACTCCTAATGAGAGTGTCAGATGCATGTGAGTGAAGCTGCTAAGCAGAAATCACTAGAAGTCCAGGTGCTTCTTGCCGATGGCCATGGCGCCACATCCTGAGCTCAGCAGTTTGGCGGATCCTGCCAGATCCTGTTTGCTCGCGCGGCTCACTGTGTCTGACAAGTCTGGAGGCAAATGCAGCCGCTGTGGCAGGAGGTTTTCAGGAGGGGAGAGAGAGGGAAGAAAGAGAGAGAGAGAGAAAAAAAAAAAGCACATGGAGAAAAAAAAAAAAGATAAATTCGTTTTGCATCGTGCATTTCAAAATGCTGTCTTTTCCCTGACTGATCCGGGTTTACTCACACAAATAAAGCACTTCCCTGACACTCTTCTAGAGAGAAAAAGAATTATCTACCATAATATTCTTCTTATGTTCCAAATACTTATATTTTGAAAACCTTAATGCAACAGAAATTATATAAATAATGCTTATTTGACGTATTAAAGGCATGTTTTACATTTTGTTACAGTTTTCTTCACCGTGTTCCACAATTTCTGTAAAGATCAGGTTTGTGTTTTCAATATATTGGATTCTCTAAATTGGAATGGATTCTTTTTCTTATGAAAATTTCCTAAATAAAATACAAATTTGCTCAAGGCATTTAATTATAGCTATGTGTATTTTCCCTTTAAAAATTAGTGTTTCATCTGCATGTCAACGTCTATACCAAATTATTTGATTTCTATAGCACTACAGTGTATGTAGAGTTTTATTTTAAATATGCACGCATGGTGACAACTCTGAAAATAAATTATAAGATAGTCAAAAAGGAGATGGTCAAAAAGGAGAGTGCTCACCCTGGTTGCACATTATTCTGCTACATGTTTCCCCCTCATATTCTACTGATAGTAGCTAATAAAACCAAGCAGTGCATTTGTATAAGGCAATCACACATATTAATCAAAGCCTGCCCCCCCACCCAGTGGCCTGTAGGAACATTAAATCCAGTTTACAGATGGGAAACAGAGACAGAGGTTACATGGCTGCCCACAAACACAAGGTCCTTGCACATTAAACCTGATTTTTCAACCATGACAAAAATATTTCCACCCTCCCTCTGAGGGTCTTTTACACTGGAAATATATAAAAGACATGGCATTACCATTTAGCTTTTGTAAAATAAGGTGAAAATTAATGTAAAACTGAGGCTTTACTTGCTTAGTGACTGGCTTGCTTTTGGACCCAGTGAGGCACTGAAAGCTGGTCAGATGAGACACTTGAGCATCTTCTGCACAGTGCAATAATTTATGAAACTGGTATCATGGATGGAGCATATTTCTTGAAATATTTAGTAGGCAAAGGCTAAACTGGGTGGTTCCTTTAAAATGCACATGCTGCTGAAGGGAACAGGAGAACAGCAGTGCCTGCAAAACTGAATTAGGAAGCTCTGGGGACTATTCTTATTCTCAGCTTTTGCTGCATTTTTGCTTTTATCACACAACACAGCTGTAAACACAGCTTCCTTTTCTTCAATACTTTTGGAACTTCTGTATCGAAAGGATTTGATTAAAAAGCACAGGAAATCTTTGAATTTTCAGTGAGCTGACTGCAGAATTCCTTGCTGGTTCTGAGACTGCGCAGCTGGATGTAACTTGAGAGATGCTCCCAGGGGCTTCCCACTCCTGGCTGTGGGCAGCACTGGGGGAAGAACTGTGCTGTTATTTTCTCCAGGGGAAGGAAATGCATAAAGTAATGCATGAGGAGCAGGAAAGCCTGTGTCCAGGGTGAGATGCCACAGCCCGGTGTTGGAATAGGAGAAAGGTGTGTCTTTATTGACAGCATTTTGCCAGTGAAGCACAACCCACACACCTGTAAATACCACACAGTAACTGCAGCTGGGAATTTTAGCTGCATTAAACCAGTGCTGTGGCAGAGAATCCTTCACTCACAGCTCTCCCCTTACTCCCAGGCAGGTTAAGCCTGGCTCTGGCTGTGGACTGTGTCTCATTTCTGCCTCAATGCATCACACACAGGGCACGAGCCTTTCTCCTCTGGCTGCTGAGCAGAAGGTTTGCTGGGAAGAGCCAAGGTGAGACTTGGATTGTGTGGGAGGGGCTGAAAGCACTGAAAAGCAGAGAAGGAGAAGCTGGGAAATACAGAGGAGCATGTAGCAGATCTCTCAATCATATTTTCTTTCTAAAAAAGTGTACAGCACTTTGCTAGGGGCGGGGGGATGTGGGAGGTGGAGAGACAAGTGAATGAATCCAACCTTCTCCCAGTCCCTGCTGGCATCTCTGTGATGAAGAGCAAACAGAACCAAGACCCAGAAAATTCTTCTTATTCAGGGACTAAATATCCCTGACTAAATACCACAGACAAACCCTGCAAACCCTGCCACAAACCCTGCCCAGCTGCAAACCCTGCCACACCACCTTGGACTTCAAAGTGTGGCCAGAAAACAAACCAAAAAAAATCTTTTATATCAATGCTGTGTTCATTTGTTAACATTTATTCTAAAATACATATATAATTTTAGAATATATATTACTATATTTTAAATATAAATAAATGTAAATAAATAAATATACACTTTCAGAATATATACTACTATAATAGTGTTTATATATAATATTATATCTATTATATATATTTTCTATACATATATATGTATACATATATATACTCAGAATATATACTATATATTCTAGAAAGTATATAGATACACTTTTAGAATATATACTACTATAATAATAATTTTATATATATATATTAAAATATACTTTAAAAATATATACTACTATAATACTGTTGATTTACACACTGTCCTGGACTTAAAAGTGTGGTCAGAAAAGAGAAAAGGCCTTTTATGTCAATGCTGTTCATTTGCTGATATTTTTGTCCTAAAATAAATATATTTTAGAATAAATATATCTTTTAGAATATATACTATTGTATTTTAAATATAAATAAATGTAAATAAATAAAGATATACTTTTAGACTATATAATAGTGTATATATAAAAAAATACATACTTTTAGAATATATACTACTATAATACGGTCTATTTCAGAAAATAGACAGAAGAATGTTTACAAATTTGCAAAGATTTAGATAGGAAAAGTAGACAGGAAAAGTAAACAATTCAAGATCCTTAGATTGGATGTTGGAAGTGAGTTAGGTTTTTACAGATGTATTTGTTATGATACAGAATTTCATTATACAGGCCTTATACTCTCCTTCCCCATCTCCTTCAGGGAAGAGGATGCACAGTGCTCATTTAGTGACTGGCTATTCCTTTAGTGACTGGCTATCCAGTATTTTATTTTCTTGTCACTGTTTACTCTGAGCTTTTCTGACATATTTATTGTACACTATTCAAACCTTGTTCTGAAGACAGAATGGCTTTTCAATAGCACATGTCAGTACATAGCACTTGAATGCTTCAAAAATACCAACTGTGTTATTTTCCTAATACTCTTGTGAGAGAAGGCAGCAAAGTTACCTCCATTCTAGAGACAGGGAATTGAGGCAAATAAAACACCTAGCAAAAGTATCTCACTATTTCAGAAACAGAATCTCAGGCAGTTAGGACTTGCTTTTCCAGGATGTTTAGCATTTTACAGAATTTCACGTGTTCAAATGCTAACTTCATTTGCAGCCGAGTGCTTAGTATTTCTTCAAGAATCCCCAAGTCAGGCACTCAGAAAGCAAGAGACACAAGAATATTGAAATAAAAATGCTGTGTTGAAGCAACATGACCACACATAAGTTCAGTGGTATTGGCTGAGACACACACCATACCTTCTGTGATATTCTTCCACGTCTTAATTATGAGACCATTCCTCCTGCAATCCTTTCCTCTACAATCCATCCCTCTACAATCCCAGCTTTCAAACACTATAAAAAACTGCTGGTTCTCCAGGAAGCACATTTCACTGCATATACCACATTCATCCTTAGAGCAGACCTATTTTGAACAACACCAGATCAGTGTCCTTTGAAAACAGCTGAATATTATCCTCTCATTAAGATCAGGATCACTGGACACACACATGTTCCTTATGAACAAAGCCTGCACAGGTATTTCAAAATATAATTCCTTGTGTTTTCTGTGTGGAGAAGTTTTCTGTGTGGAGCAATTTTCTGTGTGGGGAAGTTTTCTGTGTGCCCTTATACAGGGCTGAAAATATTAATCCCAACAAGTATATTAACACAATTTAAAAATATTCTAAATGTTAAGCCATGAACAAAAAGGAAATTCATTGCATGACACTGTACAGACATCTACAGGTTAAGGAACTGGCCTTTATTTTTGGTACCAATAGGGACATTGTGGTCACTTGAGCTAAGGCAGTAAATGATGGTATGAACAGGCTGTGATCCTTCTGGAATACCAGCATGACATTTTCACAAGTATTTGTTGACCACAGAGAAACAATCACATTTAAAGTCCCAGTTAAACACAAAATGTGTTTTGCTCTGCTATTTCTGAGGCTCTGACCTCCATCCCTTTCAAGTTCTCTTTCTCTCATCAGCCTGGCAGGAATCAGGATGATTTTGCTCACATTGGCAATCCCAATCCTTGCCCAGGCCTTCCATCCCACAACTTCTTTTCATGACAAAAATGTCTCTTCTCTGGTTATCTGCAGTCCCCAGTCTCAGCTTTCTGCAGCCAAGCTCTTCATTCCTGCCCCTGACATTCCTGCATTTCTTCTGCCTCTGTTTCCAGCCCCTGCTCCTGTTCCTAAAGCCTAGGTTCAAACTCAGCACCAGGCTCCCCTTCCTTGCATCGACCCCTTGTGCTCACAAATACCAACTGTGTTATTTTCCTGATATTCTTGTGAGAGAAGGCAGCAAAGTGACTTCCATTTCAGAGGCAGGGAACTGAGGCACATAAAACACCTAGCAAAAGATATCTACTTTTCTTGATGTTATTTTATTTCAGAAACAAAATCTCAGGCAGTTAGGACTTGCTTTTCCAGAATGTTTAACAATCCCCTAGTTTGTTCTCCTTCTCTTCTCACCTATTCTGGATCTATCCTCCTTTCCCCTGCTGGCACTGCTTCCCATTCCTGCCCCTCTCCCCAGCCCTGTACCTAAAAGCAGGTAAACACCTGGAGAAGACTCAATTGTTATGCACTGAGTGTGCCAAACAGGACACAAGACACCACCAACCCATCCATGGCAGAAGTGCTAGACAGAAAA